GAACAGCTTTTCATCAGCATCACCTTGTTTATTGTTGATGATTTTTCATACATATCGGCGAGTGTCTGCAAGACCTCCTTCGTGCTTTTTGCTCCCTTCATATGGTAGGCGACGTTCCGAGAAAGCGAAAGAATTATAGCGCTCATCGCCTTTCGATCTAGCACCTTCCATTCATCATCCCTCATCTTCTCGGGCTTTTTCCCAAGAGGTGCGTAGAGGTCCTTCCCGTACAGGTAAGCCTCCATTTGCATTCGCCAGAATCCAAAGTCGGAACCATTGAACCGTTCGACTGGAATCTTTCCCTCCATCTTATTTCCATCCTCCTGGCTCTGGTACCAGTTGTTGGGAAATAAGGTCGGATAAGATGGAATAATAATAACACAATGTGAAATCAATAAAAGACACGAAGATTTGTTAACCCAGTTCGGATTAAATCCTACGTCTGGGGGCGAAACAAGCCAGGAGAATGAACTAGAAGAAGAGGATAAACCGAATGTTACAACTCACACAAGCCCATATGAATTCACTCTCTCTACTCTTTTTTGTTATATATTATATATATTTTGCAGCATTAGTTCATCAAAATAGTTTGGTTTCGACAAAAAAAAAAAAAAAAAAAAAATCACATTAAACCAGGAAATTTACTGTAAATATGCAGAAACATTTCGCTATAATTGAGTATGATTTCCAACTTGTTTTATATACTGTAAATATACAAACAATATGCATAATAAATCAAGACAAATTATAAAAATTAAAAATAATAATAATAAAAAAAAACGTTGAAAGAAATATACCTGGTTGAACAGATTCCTAATTAGTAGGTTATATACACTTACCTTTTTTGTCAGTTAAATCCTAAAGATGTTGTTAAATCCTAAAGATGTGTGATTAGTTTATATCCAATTACTTTTTTCTTTTTCTACCGATCTCTTTAGTTGCGTGATTTTAGGAGGGTTCATTCCTTTGATAAATGATACAAACGTTTTTAAGGCAGCAAATATTAAGTCACTTTAATTTGGTAGGCATGCTAATAAATTGCTACATCTCATACATCATTAATTTTTTAATATTCTTGTGGTAGGTTCAAAATTTCGCATATAATTTTTTATTTGCAAAAATACAAAGTTCAACATAAATATTTGCATGTATAAGATTTTCTTAAATCTTAATTTACCTTTTTTTTTTCTTAAAAAAATTATTACTGTAGTTGCATGCAATTGGTAACTGTTGTAATTTAATGGGATTTTTTTTCCACATTCAATTTTGATAGCACAATCAATGGTGAATTTTGACCACTCCGCACCTCGAGTCATCCTCTCATGTAAAAGTTATGTAAATAAAAACAAAATATATATTGAAATATACTGACTGTAAACGCAACAAATTGAAATTATTCCTGATGCACACGTTGCAGAAGATTTTGATGTTCGTCGTTAAGCTTTGACCTCTTTTTATTGCAATTGCCGACCTGGTCAATTACGATTTAGATTGTATATATTTACTTATATGTTACGGAGACGTGAATTGTATATATCTACTTATATGTTATGTACATAGTTACATGTTACAAACCAAACCTAAATTAAATTTTGGTTGAACGAAAAAAAATTGTAATCTAGTATGTATATTTTTTTTTTTTCTTTTTACATCCTAAGAGCGCTTATAATATGTTTTTACATATCAATGTTGTACAAATTGTAGAAAAGTATAAACAAATTTCAAACATCACAATTGCGGTTAAATAGTGTTATGTAAATAAAAATGCAACATATACTGAAAATATATTTAGTATAAACGCAACATATACGAAAAATATTTATTGGCCAGTGAAATTTATCGGCCATTTCTTGTGATGACAGCATCGACAGACAAGGACATTGACAACTTCTGTGTGGAGCTGACAAGCGGCGACAACAGACGGGCAATAGGTCGCAACTTGTACGTTCGCGGTTGGAGTCTCCATCCTGGCGTACGGCAGAGGCTGGAATTTCGGGCTCTGATCGACGGCGAACGGACTGACGACAATTCTAGTTACTTTGTGCTCGGCCCAAAGCTCTTTGATTGAGGATGTCGCCGGAGACGTTCGTCGACTTGTGTAGTGGCGAGTCATACTCGAGGGCAACGCGGACGACAACAAGAGTTGGTGTCACGAAGGATATTTGGGATCACGATGGGGTGGATGTGAGGCGGCGAGGGATGTTGTCATGAAAGTCAGGGAGGAGATTCACATCTATATATATAATTACTAGCCAATAACATTTAATAAAACCTAATTAATTTTACCTATGTGGCAATTGAATATTTTTTCCTCCAAAAACCGTTACTTTTTTATGTATTTAATCTTTTATTTAATTATTAAATAATCAATACTAATCACTTCAAAAATACGAAAAATTATTTTAAACTTTTTATTAGTGACAGTTGACCATATAATGTGCTGATCGTACAATATGATTAGATGTTATTATTGTGGTTACATTTAAATTATTTTTTTAAAAAAAAATTAAAAACGTATTTCAAATTTCTAAATAAATGATAAATAATTCAAAAAAAAAAGACGTACAAAAATATACATTACATCCAATCAGATAAACGCAATTTAAAAAAAAAAATAAATATTCCAACTTCTTTATTTGTAAATGTTGGCATGCAAAAAAGTGAAAGAAAAATAATTAATCATTATATGCATAAAAGTAACTCACAATACTTCACAATACTTTATTTACATCTGTGCAAATGCACAGGGTCGAGTACTAGTTTTTTTTAAAGGTGAACAATCGAAATTGGTTGAAGAGTTGGGAAAATACATGAAAAAAGAGGCGATGAATTCTTTTCTGTGGAATGATTCTATACCGTCTTTTTTCTCTTCCTTCTTTCGTGGTGTATCGAATTCATAACTTTAATTGAATTCATCGCCTCTAAAGTCTACTTAGCTATGTTATGAGCAACCACATTATTTGCTCTATCAACGAGTAACAGACACCACAATTCAAGGATAACAAAAGTTCACTACTAACGATTCCATCAACGTCTAGCAAAATGCAAAAAAAAAAAAAAAAAAAAAAAAAAAAAAGATAACAAAAGTTCGGTAATATCCTCAAAAACATGTTTATATCAGCTTAGGTGTGTGTGCAAATAGATTTTTTTTATTTTTAATATATTTGCAATTATTTAGTAATCAATTAAGTACTAGTACAAAGCCCGTGTATTACACGTGTGCTTGCTAATTTTTTCTTTAAAATCTAAAATTAATGAGAAAAAGTAGGTGAAAATTTAAATACCTTTTATAAAAATATATATATTATTATATATTTAGTATGACACTTGTTTTGTGTGACTTACTTGTCTTATATTATAATAATTTTTTTACCTTACAACATATAACTACATTAAACATAAATATATCAACTGAGTAATAATTTTATTTTTCTAATAAATTTTAATAAATATTATTATTTTTTATTATTATAAAGAAGAATATAATTTATTTATTTTATATATACAATATGGATGTAAAATCGAAGATCGTGAAAAGATGATTAATTTGATATATTATATATGTAAAACCGATAAGTAATACAAAAGTTATCAACTTTTAAAATACATTTATAATTCAATAGCTAATTGAAGGAAACAAACCAAAAGTCAGGGATATTTTAGTCACTTAGTGTCTCACTGTGTAAAATTAAAAGAAATTAAAGGGTTATATTAGTACAAGTGATATTAAAATACCTAAGTTAGTTAAATAATATTTATGGAATGTCCGAACCTAGATTATTAATTGTTAATATATTAATATTATTTGTCCAAACCTAATTACGAAACATGATTCTTCGTCAAATAGGATTCCGAAGCACCAGAAGCAGCAACGTAGGTTCAGCGCATTCAGGAAATATATATATATATATATATA